AGAGAGAGAGAGAGAGAGAGAGAGAGAGAGAGAGAGAGAGAGAGAGAGAGAGAGAGAGAGAGAGAGAGAGACTCCCCTGGGTAGCGCTTCGGTAGGTCGCGTAGGGACTTTTCGCATGGTCCTCGCTCCACACTCACCAAGACTTGGAAAACCTTTTCGGTACTCTGACGTGAAAATCCATTCGGCAGTGTGCTTCGCCACATTGCACTCTCGACTTGGAGCGCTCTCGAGGCGCACGTTGGAGAGCACTGTCCAGCACTGTCCAGCACTGTCCAGATTGTGCCGACGAAATCTGGCGAGGAAAACTGTGGAGACTGCTTGTCTGCCGCGGATCGCCTCAGGAGTTCTCCTGTCCAAAACCGGGCCTCCGGGCGATGTCTCCCGAAAATGGCCATTTGGAATTGAGGGCAAGAGCGTTAGCGATGCGTTAGCGGTTCGGGCGAAGTGGAGGCGGCGGGGGAGAAGGGCCGCGGCATCCGGTCCGTGCCTTGGCACGGACCGGTTGTACGGGAACTCCGTGGTGGCGAGGGGTTAGGCGTCGTCTTCGTCATTTTCAAGGAAAGCTAAATGAGGCGATGTATCTGGGCAGTGTGCAGAAGCATAAGGGGAGTTGACGAAGTCAACAAGGAAAAGGGGGTAAGCCGCTACCAGGTTTACATATCACTACCACTAATGCAGCCGCTACCAGGTTTACATATCACTACCACTAATGCAGCGCAGGTGGAGTAATGCATCACAGGTGGAGTAACGACGGTGGTTATGTTGCCACCCGATATCCGGCGCGACAGTCAATACGGAAATCTCGTGGGGAAGAAACAACTGCGGCACGACTTCAGCATTTGGAGGACGGATGTTGAACTCTCAAATATGATGAAAGGTATACCTTACTCTCAGAATCTCGGGGGGTGGGGGATAACTTATGTGTTGCCCAGTTGAATTGGATGCCTCAACAGCTGACAGTATAATAGAGTATAACTCTTCGTTAGGTTTTTGGATAGCCATACTGCCGCACCCTACTTATTCAAGTTATTAGTTTATTATTTTATTTGAAACTCTATTCCTCCGTTGGAGGGTGGACGAAGAGCCGTGACGAGAAATGGGGGATTCAAATGAACCTGCTCCTCCGAACCCCCCTCCCGCTCCTCCTCCCCCCCTCCTCCGGGGAATTCTGAGTCATCTCTTTCGGATTCAGAAAAGCAGCGAATCCGGGGTATCCTCGAATCTTGCTACTCTGATGGGATCCTCCCCAAAAAATTGTCTCAGAATACTGTGGAAGTGGGAGAAGATTTTGTCCCGAGTAGTCATCAACCCGGAGGTTTACAGACTCCAAGTGGAATGGCTTAAGGAACATGCTGTTACCATTCTGTTTGGAGACCAGACAACGTCCCTGCCAGTAGACGTTAAAAAACGGCTCGTGCGTACTTATGAAGATGGATGGGCCACCAACCGTGCGATCAATACACCCCCCAAACGCGGTTTATTCCGTATTGAATGCCGAAATTTAGTAACCTATGTTTCAGCATCAAGCCAAATTGCGACATTCATGTTGAGAAAGAAACGTGAAAAGATAGTGCTGAATGGGAAATCCTACTCTATCACGTTTCAACCGTGGATGTCTGACTATGAGCTGTACGAGTGGAGGGAAGCCATGCGCTTCCAATTTTTTTGGATTAGGTGCATGTAAGTCCCCATCTCGGCTCTTCCTCAGCTGGAGTCGGCGGTGGCAGATGCGTTCGGATCGGTGCTGAAAGCATACCCGGCATTTAAGGAACCAGGTAAGCCGGAATTATTGAATATTCGGTTTGATTTAGTACCATCCGCAAGAATGAGATACAAACCGTGTCTGATGATAGACCATCTAGATGATGGTTATGCAGAGATTGACGTTATCTGTGCTGACACCCCCTGGTGCGAAACCTGCAGAAGATATTTTCATAAGTCCACTGATTGTCCTTCTAAACGACAACCTGGCCCTTCGGCGTCAAACGGGCTTATCAGGGAACAAACCCTCAACAAGAGCAAGAGATCAGAGAAAGCCGACAAGAGCAAGGACGTGGAGAAGGGGGATAAGGGCAAGACTGCTCAGGGGGATAAACAGCATCAGGAGAAGGAGAAGGGAAGGGTTCTGGACGAAGTAACGGAGAAGACCAAACCACCAAACCCGCCTCCCCCTCAAGACCAGGGAGGAGGAAGGGCAATTGTGGTTTGGAAAAAGAAAGTCCCGAACCCCTCAGAGTCACAAAAGGGTCACCATCTTTCCCCCCAAAAGGTGCCAAACACAGAGCTGACCACTAAAGGGCTAGATATAAGAAAAGAACATGGATCGAAAGCAGGGTCGGAGGAAAGGGAAAAATCCCCGCTGAAGGACCAAGCCCATCAGGAAACGGAAAAAGGAATGATAGATGTGGAAATGACCAGTGAAGAGGAGAACATCAATGAGGAAAGAGGAAAGAATGTGGAGGAAAAAGGGAATGAAGATTTCGAGGACACGAAGGATTCGGATATGGAGGACTCAGAGAAGGAGGAGGATGGGTCTGAGGTGGAGGAGGAGGAGAGAGAAGAGGAAGAAGACGAGGAAGAAGAGGAGGAGGAGGATAAAGAGGAAGAGGGAAAAGGTGAAAGAGTTAGGGAGGAGGAGGAGGATAAAGACAAAGAGGAGGAAGAGGAGAGGAGGAGGAGTAGAGAGGAGGAGGGCAATGATAAGAATGGGAGTGTCCAGAGGGAAGAGGAAGAGGAAAGAGAGAGAAAGTCTGAGGACAACAGGGAGGACAGCAGGGAGGAGGGCCATAAGGAAGAAGTTATAGAACAGGTCCAAATGGTAAATGCGGGAAAGGAGGAGGAGAAGCGGGTAGAAGATGACGTCCAGGCCAGGGTTTCACCCTCCCCCAGGGGTCCAAATTTACAGCCTCTGGAAAACTTTGTAGTGTATGATAATAACTCATTTATCCCATTGGATGTTGACCAGTCAGGCGGTCCCATGTCTGAAAAAGAAAAAGAAGCCGCGGACAGTACATGGAAATTGGCGGATATTTTCCCTTTTCAGAGAATGGGTAACCAACAGTTACTGGGTGCTTTTGGTTTGGCCCAGGCCTGTGAATCTTCTCCGGCAAAAAAAGTAAAGCGAAATGATGCGTCAGTCGGAGTGGCCTCGGGTGAGGAAACTGGAAGCCCTCCACGCACCCAGCGATTTGAGAAGGATACAGAGGGGCGCAAGAGGCCGAGGTCATCTAGCCATGCTAGAAGGGAACTGTCTCTGGCTGGTCCTATGAGAACAGTTACCAAAGCAGACAAGGCAAAAGGTCCTATCAAGCAGTTTGTTGTCCCTCTGATCATATCAGAGTCAGCAGTAGGTCCAGTGCTTTTAACTAGAATAACCAACAATGACGGACTGGAAATTCCGTCTATTCCTGTAACTGCCCCCCCCTCGGATGAGGAGGCAGTGGAAATAGCGAAACGGCAAGTTTTGAATCATACGGGTTCGGTAGCAGTGCTACCTTCCTTCCTTTAAAATTAACCGGTACTTGTCTCAGAAACAGCAACTCCCCCCGGTGGTCTTCCACATGGCGCTGATGGGCATTCGCACCATCTGTGAATCTTTTGATAAATGGTGTGACCTCTGGGTTCATTGGATACCACTCCAAGATTTCCTGTCGGGTAATATAGAATCAATAGATAAATTACAAATGCCCGCGGAAAGAACGGGAGTGGTTATCCTTGAGTGAATGCGGCATACCAACGGGGTAGATAAACTCTCAGGGGCTACCCTAACTCAGAATCTTTTGATGGTCAGTCTCTCGGGTAAGGACGCAAAGGAAACAAAAAGACCTCAGATTCACCTCAAGGATCAGAGTCGGATCCAAGCTACCGGCACGTCTGCTGTAGATGGTACTTCCGCCTAAACTACGGTTGGCATCTTGGAATGTCCGTGGTTTAGGTGATACCTCACACAGATTTAAAAGATCAAGACTGAGATCCTGGATGCATTCGAATAATGTTCATATTTTGGGCATCCAAGAATCAAAATTAAATACTGGAAAACTACAGACCTTGAGGACATATTGGGAAGGCCCCCAAATTTGGTCGTCCGCAGATAGGTCCAAGGGTGGGGTAGCAATATTAATCAACAAGGACTTAGAGGCGGAAGTACTTGATTCCTATGTTGATTCGGCTGGGAGAATAGCATGGATCAAAATACTTCTAGGTGAGGAGGAATGGGGCATTGTTTCAATTTATGCCCCGGTCGAACTTATTGATCGAATAGACTTTCTAGCCAACCTCCCGGCCTTCCTACCCGACACGGAAAACCTGGTCATACTAAGAGACCTCAACACGATATTAATCCCAGGATTAGATTCATTGTCAGTTTTTCCCCCCAGACAGGACGCAGGTATCTTAAACTCTTTGCTGGATGCTTATTCATTAACAGATGTGTTCCGTACCTTAAATCCCGAGCTAAACGACTTCTCCTGGTTTGGGGCTAAGCCAGCAGGTAACACCCCAGCCCCAAGGAGCTGACTAGACTTTATCTTAGCACGAGGCTCTCCTTGGAACACCTGTTTTTGATGTGATGTAGTGCCAGGTACAGAATCATTATTAGACCATCATCCAGTATTGATGGACGTAGTCTCTGCAGAAGTCATTCAAAGAGAGAGACCCCCATTTAGGCTGAACGTAAACATGCTCAAGGATGAGGGTATCAAGCAATGGGTAACAGACCAAATGACAGTGTGGAACACTACGAAAGACTTATTTGAAGACCTGCTGGAATGGGCGGAAGTAGGAATCAACATAATTAGGAACTCGTATGCAAATTTCTAGAANGTGTGGAACACTACGAAAGACTTATTTGAAGACCTGCTGGAATGGGCGGAAGTAGGAATCAACATAATTAGGAACTCGTATGCAAATTTCTAGAATGAAGTCAGCAAATCGGACATGGCAAGAAGTAAAACTCAAAAAGGAAGTGGTCCAGGCGGAAAGCCAAATGGGTATAGACCCATTTTTGGATTTTTTTTGGACGGAGAAGCGGAAATCARCATTAATGCAGTTGGAACAGCTGGAAGTCAAGAAACAGGCCGAATGGCTGGAGTGGCTAAAGGTCCGAGGAATTATCGGTTATGATCGAATGACAAAGCTATCCTTTAGATCGYTAATACTGCGGCAGGCGAAGCCATTGATAAGAGAGCTCCGCCATCCCTTCACGATTGATCAGACCCCRGCTTCAGATATGGCGTCCATGTGTGCAAATGCCTTTGACTATTTTAAAGATATAGTATCTACTAGACGACCATTTGATACACTGGACACAGACCTATCAATCTCCAGCCACTTCTGGGACAAGACCTCAACCAGGGTCCCGTACTCAGCGGTTCGGTCATTAGATGAACCTTTTACTGTCGCTGAACTGGGTAGGGCAGTGAAGCAAATGGCCCTGGGAAAATGCCCAGGCCTTGATGGACTGCCCGTGGAACTATATTTAGCCTGCTGGCCAGCCTTTGGACCCTTTCTCTGTGACATATTTAACAATGTCAGGACGACAGGCAGATTACCGGGTGATTTTTTGAAAGGAGTGATATCATTACTATACAAAAAGGGAGATAAGGCCGAAGTCAAGAATTACAGACCAATGTCGGTTTTAAATATAACTTATAAAATATTGGCCAAAGCTTACGCCAGTAGGCTCGCGGACATACTCCCCCTCTTGGTTGGACAGGAACAGGGGGGCTTTGTTAAGGGGAGATCGATATTTGAAAATATAATGTCTACCCTTCAAGCCTTCGAAATAATATCTAAAGAAAGGAGGGAAGTGGTTGTCCTCCTACTGGACATGGAAAAAGCCTACAATAAGGTGGGCTGGACTTTTATCCTTACCACCTTATCGAAAATGGGCTTCGGCCCCCACTTTTGCAATAATGTTAAGGCAATGTACTCTCAGACGAGGTCTGCAATTATTATAAATGGACACCTGTCGGAGGACTTCCAGCTGACCCGTTCGCTGCGTCAGGGATGTCCCCTGACCCCTTTATTATTTGTTATCCAATTAGAAATTTTATTGGACAATATCCGTCATAACCCGAAAATTGTTGGATTGAAGATCCCGCCTACCATTCATTGGAAGGGGGGGGCAATTGCTGACAATCTAACAATTGCCTGTGAAAATTCAGTCTCAGCCTTTACTGAGCTTAGGATAGTGCTAGATGATTATTGTCAGTTGTCTGAGGCATCTATTAACTGGGATAAATCCACATACTTTCTCCCCACCCCCTATGAGATATGTGCCCAATAGGGTTTGAAGCAGGTGCCAGAGGGATTGTCCGAACGCTTTCTGGGTGTTCAAGTGGCACTGTCTGATTGCTCTGCAGGACAAGACAAAATTCTTCAGGAGAAAGTCTGTGCCCGTATTACGGGTTGGATCATAAATCACAAGTTGTCACTTTTTGGGCGGGCATTAGTTCTATCAGCGACAGCTTTCTCCTTGTTGTGGTTCCCCCTGACTGTTCATTGGTTGGGCGATGAAGCCTACTCAACAATAAAGAGGGTTGCTGCACAATACACTTGGAAGCCTGCAGCCACAGAAGATCAAGGTTTTATTGCAAGGGTGGCATGGGATAAATTAACCTTCCCCAGATCAGAAGGGGGCCTGGGTATTATTGACCCTAGAGACCAAAACATCGCCTTGCTAGGGCAATGGGTGATCAAAGCTCTGATGGAGAATAAAGAACAAAAGAGTTGGATACTGATGGCTGAATATATTTTTAAGAGAGACTGGTCACTCAGTGATGGTGGGCAGGTGTGGGCATGCTTAGTGCAAACAGACATGGGAAGGAGAAAAGTAAAATCCAGAATATGGACTGCAATTCTTAAAGCCTGGTCAAAGATACGGCCCATACCACTGAATCAGCCTTCCTCTAAGTTGGAAGTAGCTAATCAAACCCTGTTTGATAACAACTTGATTAAATCTGAATCAGACACCCCGTTTCCAACAATGGGTGAAATGAGAGGCAGTTTTGCCAAGTCCTGGTTAGAAAAAGGTATCCTTCAAGTGAAGCACCTTTGGGACGAGGACAACCAAGCCTGATTCTCTTACGAAGATATTAAAAAAAAACTACCCAGAATTCGGTCAGTAAAGGATAACTTCATTGCATTGTTGAACGCAATCCCCATTCATTGGGAGGGTGTGTTGAAATAGGAGTCTGAACACAGTCAGCTTACTTGGCTGGTAGACCCTTCAGCGACAAGATTGGAGGAGGTACTGAGAGTCCTGGGTCCGGATCTTCATCAAGGGATGAGGGTTGAATGTTGGGGGGTGGGAAGAGAAGGGAAGATGGGGAGGGAAGTTTCCTTTGTGAAAGAAAAGACTATTGATACTACAAAGCAGCTGGTAGAAGTAAGAATCTAGATGAACAATGATAAGAAAACTGTTCGACAAGGAACATTACTGGATGGTGAGGCTGCTTCCTATAAGGTTGATCCAACCCTCTTCGGTTGGAAATCCAGTAAGGGAAAAGAAACCCCTCTTTGTGCATATGTACCAAGGACTGGGGTCGCATCATGTCGATTGAGAAAAAAACAGCCTGTGGACTTGGCAGTAAGAAGATTCCATAAGATTAGGGGGACTACAAAAAACCCCTCGGATTTTCCTTTTTTCTTAAAAATTCTGAGGAAAATCCCGTCTCAGAGGCAGGCGAGTTTAATGTGGACTCAATCCATGCAAGTGACAACTTTAGCATTATGGCTACATACTAAGGGCATGGATTTTAGCATTACGTGTCGACGCTGCAATTGGGGTTGGGAGTCTACGGAACATCTATGGCTATACTGCCCGCTGGCTGATGAGCTATGGATGTGGTGGAAAACCTTTTGGGATGCTTAGGTGGGACCGGACTGGGAATGGTCAGATGATTGGATACTTTTTGGTATCCCGCCAGGCAAGGCAAAGCTGTAAGAAGGCTGGGGCTATGTGGCCCTGACCTGCAGAGGTATACTAATGGTAGTAATATGGAAGTCCCGGAATGCTCAAGTGTTCAGAGATGAAATGGTGGACATCCATCAACAAAAAACAATAGTGAAGTCGTTGCTGAGAACAACCATCAGAGCCGAATGGAATCAGGCAAGGCAGAGAGCAGGACGAGGGAAATACTGGCTTAATAAGACATGGTCCCTCAAAGATGTACTCTACAAGACTGACCCAGAGAACAAACTCTGGCTGGCCCCTTGGTTGTATGACTAAGTTGGAGATGTAGAAATCGCTTTAGATATCGTACTATGTGTTCAGATAGCATGAAATTTTGACTCCGCCTCAATTATGTGATTTGGAGTTAGTCTGATCATGTTGAATGTATAAGATTGGCTTCTGAGTCGTTCGTCATGGAATTATTGAGACTCAGAGGCAGAGGGACATTACACACCTTTTTTACTTAGCGTCAAGTATAATTTTTTTTGGAAAGTACTGTTGGTGTTTGAATGGGACCCTGGACCCGGTTTTCAGGTAGTTCAGGTTATTTTTATAGCATCCGATTTTAGTCGAGTATTATAAGCCAAACTGGCTGAGGCTGCCAGGATAACACCGGGTTGAATTGTGAGGTCCCCGGCCTCGTTCATTGGACGATTTTTATAAAA